AGCACCTGTAGCATAAAAAGCATTTGAGGCCTTAGGAAGTGAGTCATCAAACATTAAATGGGGATGATAAACCTAGTTCAGTGACCTTGTTCAGCACAGAATGAGAGCAAAGTCATCCTCCTCTCACACAGGTTGTTAAATATGTTCTCTGGGTGAAAGAAAGTTAGACACTCCACCTCTACCCCAAGACAGAAACAACATTAAAGAGGGTCTCACAGTTCCTAACCTTTTGGAGGGAGGTACAGACATGTGTGACCTGATGTAAAGCCTTCCAGTGATCTTGGCAACTGGAAATGCAAAATCTTCTACTTACCCATCAGCAATCAAAGACCGCGAGGATGCTGGTTGTATCTTAAGTGACTTGGTAGAACATTGGATATTAGAAGACATTATAATTCTGTAACATAAAGAATGGTGGTTGAGAACTTAGTCTCTATAGACAGGATTTAAATCCTGATTCTTGTCCTTGATAACTGCCTGAACTCAGGCAAATATTTAATCGCTTTATGCCTCAGTTTCCTCATCTGTGAAAAAGGGCCTTCCTCTTAAGGCAGTGGTTCTCAATGGAGGCAAATTTTTCCTCCAAGGGATTTTGACAATATCTAGACACACTTTGGGTTTTCGCAACTGGAGGTGGGGATGAGGAGGATAGTGGCATCCAGTGGATAGAGGCCAGAGATGCTTCTAGATATCCTACAGTGCACAGGTCAGCCTCCACAACAGATAATCATCAGTCCCCAAATGTGTGCCAAGGCTGAAAAGCCCTTAGGGTTGTTTTAATAATTTAACACATAATCCACGTACAAGCTGTTTAAAAAGTACCAGTAACATAATAAATCTTCTATTCATATTGTAGATTTACTTTCATAAGACACTACATAGTCTATGTATATATGTGTGTGTGTGTGTAAATTATATATATATTTTATTTGAAGGCTGTATTTGAAGGTTTCACATATGCAAATACTATGCATTTTATGTAAGGAACTTGAGCATCCACAGATATTGGTAACTCTGTCCATGTGTGTGTGTGTATGCATATATGTTTCCTGGAATCAATCCCCTGTGGCTACCGAGGGATGACTGTAATTTGTTAGCAACGTAAATAATTTGCACTCTAGATTCACTACTTGTTGTGCATACACTAATCTCAGGATGCCGCTCTGAGGAACAAAATGGTACTCAAGCTGCAGTAGTCCTAACGTGAGCAATGCTGGGGAAAGCCTGCAGAATCCAAGGCTGCATTTCCTACTAGAGATGATTTTCAGAATAAGTGGTGAAAGAAGCAGCAGCAGTATTCATGCTGCGACCCATTCATTCTGTCCTCTGGGTGCTTCCCAGCGAAGATAGAGTGCTGGTCTCTTAGGCTGCAGCTTAACTGGCCTATTTCATGGCTGGACAAACATAGTCTCCTCAGCCTCTTTTATATCCTTGACTGAACTGTAAGTATTCAACAGTGTGACATAAAGCAAAGGTGGAGTGCTGCTTCCAGTGCAGTGTTTAAAAAGAGGACTGCCTTCCAGCCCAGGTGGCTCAGCCCCTAGGGAGGGCAACAGTGGAGCCAGGAGCCTCCCCTGGCCCATAGAGCCCTGCTGTTGAGAGGAGCATTTCTCTGGTTCTACTTTCCACCAGACTTCATCCCCAGGCCTTGGTGAGAACTAATTCTGGGCAGCAGTATTATCAGGCTCAATAAATGTTGCTAGTGAAGGGGGCATTTCTGCGGAGCCACAGTTCCCCCAATAGCCTTTCCAGTCCTTGACGGAGCCTAAAGTCCTGCAAATCTCCTCAAGTGCAGAGAGTGCTGCTGTTGAGGGAGGCATTTGTGTGAAGCCTCCAAGATTCCCTTCCCAGCCATAGTGGGGGCCTAAAGGCAAACACTAGGTCTCTGAAGGTTCTCAGAGACTGCAGATCTCTGAAGAGATGACTGCTATTGTGGGGTGCCTTATCCTTGGTGAAAAATAAATTCCAACAAATCTCCTCAGGTCCAAAGAGTGTTGCTGTCTGTCATGGGGTACATTTCAGTAAAGATGCTGCCTCCCAAGGCTCCTTTCCAGTCTTTTATGAGGTTCAGAGGATGGCAAATCTCAAGTTTGGGTGCATTTGTGCACCTCCAAACTGACTTTAATTCATCTTTCCAAATCTTGTTGGAGGCCTTATGTCCAGCACCAAGTCTTCTCACATTTTGAAGAAGAGATTCCTTAGAAGCTGCTTCCTATGAGATATTCTTTTCAGTCATTTGGGGAGGCCTGAAGACAAGCAAGAAGTCTCCTCAGGTTTAGAGAGTGCTTGTGAAAAGTACAGTGGGGTCAAGGAGCAGCTGACTCCCAGACATTTTGTCCAGGTCTTGAGGAAGCCTGGACATCAGCCAAAATCACCTTCGTATCAGAAAGCTCTTCTGAAGATGAAAGAGTTCTGGCCGGGCGCGGTGGCTCAAGCCTGTAATCCCAGCACTTTGGGAGGCCGAGGCGGGTGGATCACGAGGTCAGGAGATCGAGACTATCCTGGCTAACATGGTGAAACCCCGTCTCTACTAAAAATACAAAAAACTAGCCGGGCGTGGTGGCGGGCGCCTGTAGTCTCAGCTACTTGGGAGGCTGAGGCGGGAGAATGGCGTGAACCCGGGAGGCGGAGCTTGCAGTGAGCCGAGATCACGCCACTGCACTCCAGCCTGGGTGACACAGCGAGACTCCGTCTCAAAAAAAAAAAAAAAAAAAGATGAAAGAGTTCTGAAGAGTGGCTGCCTCCCTGACCCTCTTACCAGACCTCAGAAAACCCTGAAGATTGGCAACAGGTCTCGTCAAGTCCTGTAAGTACTATGCTGAGGGAAGCAGGTTTGAAAACAATCCTGGCAGCTGGTCCCCTCCAAGAGGCCCAGCTTCTCTAAATAAAGCCAAGAAACCCAGCCAGGTGAAGGCTCCCAAGACTTCATTAACGGTATGTTAATACTTGCTACAAAACCTGTGAAGTTTACCATTTCTTCTGCCTGGAAAAAAAAAAAATCCATTTCTAAGTTCTCTAAGGAGGAGCTCCACAGAAGAAGTTGCCCAATACTCATTAAGCCAGAATTGCTTGACCAAAGAGAATGCCATGGAAGATGTTAGTCCGAGTTAACCCAACCAAAGAACCCCGAAGTTCTTGAAAGTGATGATCAAAATAACAACAGCTATTTGAGCTCACGCACCAATGGGCCTCATGTTGAAAGCCTTTTCAGAGTCTTACTGAAAAGAATCCCTTCCTTGCAGAAGTACAAAAGGGAGAAATGAAATGATTTTATTAAGCTGTCTTCAAGCCTCTTGTACCCAATGTTATCATCCTTAGCTAGAGAAGGATGAGTCAAAAGAAAGATTGTCCATGGGGGCTCCTACATGCCCAGATAAGTTCACCACAATATCTTATTTGGCAGAGAAGCAACTAGTCTGTGCCAAATCTGAAGGTATGCTCAAGAAGCAACCCATGTAGACTATCCCAGAAAAGCCTCCTAAACTCCGGGCAAATAATGCCATCTCGGTCAGTGGTTGGGCATGGTAAGGCAGCCCTTGGGTTTGAATACTCTTGTGTCAGGCCAAGCTCCTTCTAACAAGTGCCTTACGTACCCTACTCATGACTCTCTCCCTGCCTTGGATGGGTAACAGCTGATGGGGAGTGATTTTCTCACTTTTTTCATCCTATCCAATTTGTACCAAGTATATCTCAAGTTCTTCTTCCTCCAGGGGTACTTACCAGATATTTAAGTCAGCATTTCTTAATATTTTAGCATGCATCAGAATCACCCGGAAGACTTGCTAAAATACATATTGCTGGACCTCACTCCTAGAGTTTATGATTTATCAGGTCTGGGATAACGCCAAGAATTTAAACACTTCTCAAACCCAAAAAACATTTTTTTCAAAAGAATAAAAGGCCAAGCCCGGTGGCTCATGCTTGTAATCCTAGCAATTTTGGAGACCAACACAGGAGGATAACTTGAGCCCAGGAGTTCAAGAACAGCCTGGACAACAACATACTGAGACCCTGTATCAAAAAAAAAAAAAAAAAAAAAAAAAAGAAGGAAAAAATACTTTGAATATTTCTTATAAGTACCAAGTGGATACTTGCACTACTGATTCAGAGACCACACTTTGAGAACCAGTGCTTTAAGCCAACACTGGACTCACCACTTCCTGGCTAATAATTTTGATTATTACAGTTGTGTCCCTTAATACATGGTCTATGAAACATCTGCAGCAGAATCATATGCACTTTTTGAAAAACAGGCAAGCACATTTCTGCTCTCTACTAAGACCTCCTGAATTAAGCTCCTACTATACTTTTAGCAGGCTTTCCTCAGTGATTTTGATGCACTGTGAAATCTGAAAATTACTGATATGTGCCTTAAGTATTGGCACAAAATGTATTGTTTTTATATGGTTAGTCCATGTAATATATACTTTATCAGATTTGGAACTTTATTAAGTCCTTCCCAGTATAAGACAGTGTATTTGAAAACATTTTTAAACTTTAAATTAATAAGCTTGTATTATTATTATTGTTAATATATCTTTCCAAAGAAAAGGTAATCACCTTGAGGTCAGTTTCTTTGTATATTTTTGTTGCCTCCACGATCTAGCAGAAAACTGATAACAAACTCAGCAAACACTTGTTCACAGGAAATAAATACATGTGTGCTTATGTGTGACATAAAAGAAATTCACTGCAAAGAAGCGAAATTCGGAAGCAGTAATAAGTTCATGGACCTGTCCAAAGAACCCAGATTTCCATGCGCCTAGGAGAAGCAGTTTTTTTGAGCAAGAAACAGTTTTCTTTGCAGTTTCCTAGGAGAAAATCTCTTTCCAAAAGTCTTGTGGAGAGGGCTGTTTACCGAGCCAAAGCTACATGCTCAGAAGCCCTTGCACAAAAGGCAAATGGCTCACAAACAGTTTAGGAAATCGATGTTTGAGGTGAAAGATGTTCTCTTACCTGAAATTCTATCCAAAAACATGTTGAGTAGGTATGTAGTTTTGCAGAGATCCAAAGGAAAGTGAGCACCATTGAATCCATCTCTTTCCTATGTAGTTCAAAGTTTTGCATCAGTTTGGGAGCTTTCAGTTACAGGTAATAGATCAAGAATGCTTAAACAGAAAAAGGAACTATTGTTTCACAAAATAAGAAATCTAAAGTCAAATCAGTTCCAAGGAAAATTTAGTAGCTTGACAATCCTCAACAACACAGATGTTTTCCTTGTCTACTTTGCCATGTTCAGGGTATTGGGGAGCTCTCCTTTCCTGGTAACAAGTTGACTGTGGTAGTTTCAAGAATTACACTTTGATGTGGTCCCATCCAGTGCAGAAGAGGATGTTTTCCCGTGCACATATTTTTATTACCAATTTCCAGAAGCCCCTCAGCATACCTCAGGTCCCACTGGTGAGGGAGGGGTCACAAATCCATGCATAAACCAATCACATGATAACAAGTCCTTGCTTGCGTTGGGAAACAGACCATTTCCCAGCACACACATGTGGCTGGGCAGAGGCACTTCCTAAAACTGAAGCTCTTCCAGCAAGGAAGAGACGAAGCAAGGGGAATGGCAATTGGGCAAATGACTAACAGTGTCTGCCAAATTGGTCTTCAAGTGATGCAGGTCTAAGATATTGAATTTAAACATTGCATTTGACATTTGCAGTAGAGTCTCAGAAACTATCCCTTGAATATTTAGCAGCATCATCACTAAGTAAACATCAACAACTAATTTCAGCTCTCTAGGCATGTTCTTGTCTAAAAAAATGACAACAAACATAAGAGCAGCAACCCCAACCACACTAGCTGACATTTAATGCCACTTTAATGAGCCCATACTATGTGCTAGGGACTGTGAATTGTCATTTAGTCCTCTCCACAGGACTATGAGATAGTAACTGTTGAAACCCTCATTTTACAGACAAGGAAAGTGACCTTTAGAGAGATTACAATACTTACCCAAAGTTGCACAGCCAGCCTTCAGTCTAGAAACCACAAATAAGTGCTCCTGAGGGGCTCTTTAGGGTCATCTCTGCCTCGGGACAGGTTTGGAAACACTGGGAAAATAGGTTATAGTTTGTTTAGCTGAAATCTGAAATAATAGAGGTTAAAGGAAAAAAAACAGATGAAAGAGTCATGGAATTAGGAGATAAATGGAAAAGATGTAGACATTTGTGATCGGATTAGGTTTTCCAGATAAAATACAGGGCATCCAGTGAAATTTGAATGTAAAATAAACAGTGAATGATATTTCAGAAAAAGTGTGTCCTAAATATTTCATGGGACTTATACTAAAGTATTATTTGTTGTTTATCTGAATTGAAATTTCACTGGGTGTCCTGATTTTCTTAAAGTTGACAATACTAAATGGGATGGATGATGACTAGTGGGTGGATAGGTGGGAGGATAGGAGATGAATGGGATGAATAGGTAAGGGGTCTGTGTGTGTGTGTGTGTGTGTGTGTGTGTGTGTATCTTTCTTGGATATAGACCGACAGGGGAAGGCAATGGCATATGATGAGAGTTTAGAGAAGATAGTCTAACCTAGAGAACAAAACATTTGCTGCCAAGGAGATGAGAACCTGAACATTTGCTTTGTGATTACAGCAATGACTCACTGTGTGACCTTTGATAAATTACAACTTCTTTGTTATACAGGGTTCTGTATTAATACAGGTGAGATAACAGTATCTGCCTTATTTCCACAGGACATGAAAACAAGGTCACTTGAGCATTGCTTAAAATCCCAGGATTGAAGGAGGGCCAGGGGATTGTATTTTTGTTATATTAGGTCCATGAGAAGGAAGAATCCAGAAAGCTCTGTTAAGCTTGGAAATCTTTTCTAATTTCTTTGGAAAATTCTCACTAAATAATGATTCCAACTCAATGCTGGATGCACTGATTACAACCTACACTTTGTTTTCAAGCCTTAATTCACATACCTGGATAGTTCCCTCGTTAGCTGAGCACATTGCCCTCTAACTGAATCAGCAGAAATTAGCAAATTTGGACATCAGCTATTTCTTCCCTGTGTTTAACAGGAAGCCTAATGCAACCTAGTTTTCCCAGGATTTATTTTTTTCACAAGTGCCAGAGCAGCACACCACCACAGGGATCTGAGCTGTGAGCATGTGCTGATAAAAGCTGGTTTCCTTTTGTGGTTGCCTTTTCACTGAATTGGCAAATAAATGGGCCTCTAATTATCTTTGGAGGTAGAAGTCTATTACATTTCACTAGGCCTGGGTATTTTGCTAATAAAATGAATACAACCCAAGAAACAAAAACTGTGGAGGGTGACAGGGTTAGCACTTTCACTGGTATTCTCAGAGACCTTGGAAGCATCCTCCTACAGTAATCACATGGCCAGGGCCAAAGCAAAAGCACGGTGCCAATGGATGAAAACAGGGGACAGTCCCCACAGAGGGCACAAGTTGAGAACATTCCTCCAGGTGGCAAAGGAGGGTAGGAAAGGAGGTGAATTTCATGACCCTAGATTGTAGACAGGGAACCCCAGACCACCCCCTCATGCAGGAGAACCTTACGATCAGTGGACTAAAAATTATGAAATAATTATGTCTTCATGATCATTTGCAAAAGATTTCCTTAAACGATAGCTCGTTTTGTATTTATTGCAATGATAAGGAAATTGAAGCCCATAGAGGTGAAATGATTTACTCTAATGTGTATACGAGGCAATGTTCGAAATCAGGTCTACCGAAAGCAAGGCCAGAAATTCTTCCACCATGCCCAACAGTATTTGCCATGTGGTGTAAATTAATACCTGCCAAAATGTGACCTTCCTCCTCATATGTACAGCTGTTGAAATTCCCACCACAGTGGGAATTTCCACTTTGTGGGTTAGAGAAGGAAGGAAGGAAAATTATATATTGTATAAACCACATTAGGTAGTGACCGAGAAAGAAAATAAGGAAAAATTCTTTCTGGATATTTCATCCCGGTTGTCAAACTTGGAAAGCCAAGTTGGGAAGCACAATTTATTGGTATTCCTTCCTTCCTTCCTTCATTCCTTCCTTCATTCATTCAACAAGTGTAAATTAAGCCTCTATATGCCAGACACTGTGTAAGGCCTTGTGTATTCGGTGGTGTGTGAAAGAGCCATGCCATGGGTGAGCAACATGGTGAGGAAAAAGAAGAAAATGAAAGCATGAGTATCTCATCACTGATTGTGGAAAGTGCTGTGGAAGACAATGACAGGACTTGAAATTATCCCAACAGATAGAAATGATAAACACTGGAGGTAAGGATGCCGTAAATATCCCACTTGATCATTACACATTCTATGCGTGTAACAAAATATCACACGTACCCCATGGATTGTACAAATATTATGTATCAATAAAAAACAAATTTAGAAGGAATAAAACACAGAGATGGCTTCTCCAATTTAGAGCATACCATTCTAAGGCAGTGATCTGAAAAATGAGAAGGAACCCTGCAGGGGAATACTGGGCAGAAAGCATATGAGGCTCTGATGGTGAGGGAGCACCATTCCTTCCAGGAGCTGAAAGAAGGCCCCTGAGGTTGAAATGAAGTGAAGGGGAATGAGAGGGCAGTAAAGGGTGCAGAAGCAGGCAGGAGCCTGAAGGACTGGCCTGGAATGTTCTGTGTGCTCAACAGCAACTGGCAGGCCTGGCCTCTGGGCGAACCAGGAGGGCAGGAGACACCAAAAAGATTGAGGTGAACTTCAGCTTGCCCAGTTCTCAGGTGTGCAATTCCAGGTGTATGTGGTTGGTCTGCCACTTCCATAGGTAAGTTATTCCCCCATGTTAAATTCTGTTTCTGCCACTAACCCTACCCACAGTGCCTAATACCACCACCATACTCACCTTAGTAAATGGACTTCAGTTCCACATGGGAACAGGGGAGAAGGAAACCTAAGCTGCCAACTAGGTTCACAGAAAATATTTTCCCAAGCTCCAACAGAGACTGTGCAATAAACTGAAAGGTTTCTGGCCAAGTCCTGGCCACCTCTGAAAGCCGTTATCGGGTGCAAATCCCACTTTCTCCCATTGTCCTGTTTGCTGTTTGTGGCTGAGTAAGCACCCAATCTGGGCAGCAGATCATTAGGAGTAACTGATTAACAGCCGCTGCTGTAGAACTTGAGAGTTTTGTTTTCCACAACCTGAAAGGGTGCTTGCTTTATGATTTTTTAATTACAGTGTAAATATTGCAGCCCCATAAACCTCTTGATTTATAGCTGACAGGTGTGAAAGTTTGCACTTGCTGTAAAAGGCCCCAAGTCTTCTGTTCTCCGCAGCCCCTGTTTCCCACCCCTTTCTCAGGCTATCCTGGCAGCTGGCTGTTTGGAGGCACTTACTTTACCTGCTGTCAGACAAGGGCAGTAAATGGCAAAATCTCTAAATGGAGAGCTTATTCTCTGATTTCCTCCCAACCTCTCTTTTGGGGCCGCTTTTTCTCTGTTCCTTCTTTCTCTTCTATTTCCCCAAACCACTGTGTGACCTCAGCCTGGTTAAGAACTTTCCACTGTGACTCCCCCGTCCCGAGTCACACCTCGTGTTCTGATTTTCCTTCTGAATGTATTAACAAGCTCTGTGCTCCAAGTGCCTTAAACTGCTAAGAAAGAAGAATTCATTTAAATATTTATTTATGTCTTCATTTATTCTACATATATGATTGAGTGTGGCTATGTTATGCATATTGGTCCAAGCGCCAGAGAGGCAGCAGTAAACACACCAAAGTCATTGCTGATATGAAGTACATTCTAGAAGGGAGAGATACAAAATACACACATGGTCAAATAAGTTAAAAATTTCATTTCGGCCGTGCGTGGTGGCTCATGTCTGTAATCCCAGCACTTTGGGAGGCCGAGACGGGTGGATCATGAGGTCAGGAGATCAAGACCATCCTGGCTAACACAGTGAAACCCCGTCTCTACTAAAAATACAAAAAATTAGCTGGGCATGGTGGCGGACGCCTGTAGTCCCAGCTACTCGGGAGGTTGAGGCAGGAGAACAGCGTGAACTTGGGAGGTGGAGTTTGCAGCGGGCCGAGATCTCGCCACTGCACTCCAGCCTGGGCAACAGCGCGAAACTCCGTCTCAAAAAAACAACAACAAAATATTCATTTCAGGCCAGGCCCGGTGGCTCACATCTGTAATCCCAGCACTTTGAGAGGCCGAGGCTGAGGCAGGCAAATTGCCTGAGGTCAGGAGTTCTAGACCAGCTTGGCCAGCATGGTGAAACGCCATCTCAACTAATGATACAAAAAAATTAGCCGGGTGTGGTGGTGCAGGCCTGTAATCCCAGCTACTGAGGAAGGTTGAGGCAGGACAAGCATCTGAACTCAGGAGGCAGAGGATGCAGTGAGCCGAGATGGTGCCATTGTACTCCAGCCTGGGCAACAAGAACAAAACTCCATCTCAAAAAAAAAAAAAAATTCATTTCAAACTCTGATGGGTGCTATGGAGAAGATAAAATTAGGAGATGTGGAAAAGAGTGATTGGAAGTGGCTTTGGCCAGAAGGACAGGAGATTAGGTTATTTTCTCCAACTTCCCGGCACATGGCCCCTCACTTGTGTTTCTTTTGGAAGACTGGCTTCATTTTTTTTGTTCTCATGCCCTGTTGACTACTATCCACATGACCGTAAATGGCCACCCCATCTCTGTCTTTACATTGACTCAGGATAAGCAGTCAGCAAAAACTAATTGCCCTCCCTGGGTCCTATTCTTAGAAAATAGAATCTAGCTGATGCAGCATGGGTTAGGTTCCATCTTGGTAAAAATCAGCCTTGAGCAACCAGCTGTGTCACCTGAGTACAGCCTAGATCTTCAGTGCTACCGGCAGAGGAGTGTTTAGCCTAGAGAGAGGAAGAGTACAGGCTACAAAATACATGCCAATCTGTCCCTGCCATAGCAAGATTCTGTGTTAGTTATGGGAAAGCAGAAAAGAAAAGAGAAAATAAACATGAGATTTGGTCCTTGTTTTCAAATAACTTGCAGTCTAATGGAGATATTATGATATACATACACAAAAATATTGCTCAAATATAATGCAATAATAAATGGTGCTTCTAATG